TGACAGTGGAAGAGGTAAGAACTCAAGTGAGCTTGAAGACAGTACGTCCAACAAGTTCAAACCATTAGTAGCCAGTGGATTTGATGATTCAGATAACCCAAGGAATAAGAAGAAACAGGATCGTTCCTCTTGTGGATCAAACACGCCATCCAGCAGCGAAGTAGAAACAGACAATGCAGGGAAACATGAGAAAGTAAACGATGAGGCTAAAGAAGCTTATTTCAACAATTCTGCAGCTTGTGAGACCAATCAATGCAGGTTCAGAAGTAGTGGACACATGAACGAATCATGGAAGGCAGTCTCCGAAGATGTTAGAATATGAAGTTTTCTTTTTGAATTCATTATGACATCTTCGCACTCATCATAACATCTCTAATTAATCTTGTTTTTGTTAGGGTCGGCTTGCCTTCCAACAACTCTTCAAAAGAGAAGTATTGCCACAAAGCTTTCCTCCTCCACTTGACATAGCTGCAGCAACTACAATCAAGAAAGGGGAAACTAGCAAATTACTGGTTGATCTTAACAAGAATATATGCTCGGCGACTGATTTCAATCATCTTCGTGGTCACACAAAGGAAGAAGTATGTATAAGAAGCAAAGACAGAATAACACATGGAAAGCTCAAGTTCCATCAAACAGGATTTAAGCCATACAAAAGGTGTTCGGTTGAAGCCAAGGAGAACAGAGCAGCAGCAGAGGAAAATAATGGCAAGAAGAAGATGCGTCTGCAAGGGGAAGCCTCGACCTGACCTGATGGCATCCGTACGAATAGCGTGTGCTTGATGTTATTTCCCTTGGCATCTACAATTCATTTCAGAACTACACGAGAATTCGCCTACAATCAAAACTTTCCAACTTATATCGATCAACTAGCCTCTTTGTGTAAGGTAAACTTGATTACAAGCTCATGTTATCGGTTAGACCAATCTGTGACACTCTCTGTATAGGGTCTGAGTGCATTAACTTCTTGGTCATGTCATCATGGAATACTACTTGATGATTTTTGACGGATTATCAAACCCACATGTATTCTCAGTGAAAGATCACTACTTTTATCCAGGAGACAACATTTCAGCTTAAAAGGCTGTGTGGAGTTGGGAGTGATTGATCCAAGCTGTGCAGGGGCCTTGTTCTTGAACTATGGCATCATGACCATGTATGCATGTATGTATGGCATCATGATCAATACAGTTTTCCTTTGGAACTTGAAGTAAACCTCAAAATGTCTTCAGGTTGAAAATGACAAAGGCAACAAGAGAATCTGTGTTCGATAAGATAGATGTTTAGACAAAACATCTAGCAGAGAGTAAAAAAGATGGAGCTTACATTATCCCAACTTCTAAGCCGAATGAATCAGAAAACTTGATGAGAGCGCACTCTGATTGAACAGAATCGAGTTTGAAGCTGTATCAGACAACCATTTGTTAGGCAGTAAGATCCATGATAGCACCAACAATATCCCCATCGTGAGCCTTGAGTGCTTTAACAGCCTTCCCCTTGGACACACCAGCTTGTGTCATAACAAGTTCAATGTCACGAGGCTCGACTCCAGTCTCATCAACATCCTCCTCATCCTCATCGACCACTGCAGCTGCAGATTCATCCGGCTTGGCCATTGCATTGCTGAGATCTGGCATCCTGAATTGCTGAGCAGCTTGGCTTTGCAGTTGGGAGCTCAAGTCCTCGATCTTCGCCTCACCAAATATAACGTATGTTTCGGAGTTTGGACTTTTGAAAACATCAGGTTTGGATATGACAAACAGAATCTGCAATGTACAATGAAAACACAAAGAGTCTAATGATTAGTTACTAATTTCTTAGACACATGACAACATATCCAAAGAGGGCATAAAGGGTTTGATTTAAATATAAGATCAAATTGTACACAAGAACCCAGTATTAGTTGACAAACAATCTCAAGAATCTATATCCAGATCATTACTAGATGACACCAAGCAAGCCAAAGATTCTATTAGTTGTTAAAAGCATGACACGGCAAAGCAGATGGCAGTTTATATCTATTGCAGTATCACAAATGGGAAATTAATGAAAATTTTTCTCCAGTTTTAGTCTCTGCCCAGCACATTGTTCAGTTCTTAACACAAGTTTATTAGGGTACATCCTTCCAAAATAGCATGCAAGCAAATCTGGCTGGCTTACATTTTTTGTTCTCTTTATGGTAACTCGGGAGACACCAGTGACAGGTTTCATCCCTAACTTCAGCATTGCCTTGCGGCTTTTTTTCTCACTCCTGCTTTGCTTAGAGTTCTCGTTGGCACCAAGTCCTTGTTCTCCTGATAGAAAGAAGTAAGAAATTACCCTAACAGCCATCACAAATGCAGAGAAAAATGTTCATCTAAGACATTGTCATGAACCATATACTTCATCTAACTGGCGTCGTCACATTAAAAAAGCGTTCAACGATTTATACTGCAAGATAATATGGACTTGAAGACAAATCCAAAAAATGGAATATGAGGGAAACAAGAGGTAATTAAATCAAAAAATTGAATAATAAATCACATCCATTTCATCTTTTGATCAAGGTTCGTAATTTCGTATCGTACTGAAGTATCGAGTTCAGCTTGGTATGGTACGATACGAGTCTACCGAGCAATACGCTATATATATATATATATATATATATATATATAAACGGTTTCTTCTGCTCAATTTCTTCTCCTTGCGAAGCCTCAATGGTTTCTTCTTCTCGCGAGAAGTTGCTGATGATGCCTCGGACATTACGTCATTTCTTCTGCCCACGTGGGGAGAAGAAACGGTTTCTTCTCCCCGCGAAGCCTCGGTGACGTCGCTGAAGCTTCTTCTCCCCACGTGGATGAGGAGAAGTCGCCGACGATGTCGAGGCGTCGTCACCTCAGACGAGGAGGCGACATATCATCTGCGGCGTCCTGCGACGGAGGGCGGCGACAGATCGGGATCGTCGAGGGAGAGCGGTGTCAGATCTCCAGATTCTCCCTTTTCTTCTCCCTCTTCTTCCTTCGACCGTCACCGACCGATTTCGGGTGGTAATGGGGCGAAAACAGCCCCAATCGACGGTACCGCTCGGTAGCGGGCAGTCCGCGTACCGATCTGTTGGCGGACCAATACTGGACGGTATCATTCGAAATTAAAAACCTTACTTATGATGCGATAAGGACTCATGAAGAACATTTGTGAAACATATTGCTAGCTTAACCAAAGCCACCAACCTAACTGCAGATTTTCTAATTACAAAATAAGACATCATTTGAAGATGAATGTCTAAACCATCTAGCAATTATTTATATAGTCATTTCTGCAGATTGTTGTGATTTGAAGTCACGCAGCAATTATTTGGACAAAAGAAAGTACAAGAAACATACTCTTTATTATAAATACTAAACACCCAAACAAATGGAAATTCAACCAAAAGCTTAAACGTCTCAGATCATATAACATTAACTTAATATGGACAAACTATTCCTTGGAGAATTAATCTCAGTTTGTTGCAAAACTATTAAGTCGTTAATCAAAATATAAAAAAGAAACAACTTTAGTTGGTGAGGAATCCACATTCAACTAATCTATCTTCCACACAAATTAAATCTTGGAATAAGTAAACATGACCAGAACACATAATTTATCAGAACATATGAAGAAACTGAGAATGTACTGAATGAATCTGGTCGAGATACACTATATATTCTCCGATCTGGGCGATTGGAGCTATGAGTTCCATATCCAATATAACCTGACGAGCTCAATTCTAATCCAACTCATCGACCGTCTCTTCTTCTCACCCTCCAAACTAATAGAATCATAAGCATAAACTCTAAAAACCAATCAAGAAGAGAGATATGCAGCCAAAGCGAACAAGGGTAAAGTAAAATATACCTCCAACCTCATCGTCGTCATCCTCATCGTCATCGTCCTCGCCATCCTTTTCATCCTCTACGTCAACGATGGGAGCGTCTTCCTGAAACAAAATCAAAGATCACATCTTTATCACTAGCTAATGGTAACATATGAGAATTAAAGAATTGGCACCAAATAAGCAAAAATTTCGATTTCAGTGCATCAAACAAACCCTATACCACACCAAATCAAAAAGACAAAGGAAGGACGAGAGAGAGAGAGAGAGGTAAAAGGAGAAGGGAAGGTGGAGGACCTTGAGCAGCTGCCGCTGCTCCTCTTTGAGGGATGTGATGTTTTCGTTGTCCTTAGTCTCGTCTTCCACCATTTTTGGGCCTGGCATGGCAGTGATGCGGTTTTGCTGAGGAGGATGAGAGTAGGAGCGTCGTCGCTACCACAGCGATCTCTCTTCTCGCAAACGGAGGCCGTGAGGAGAAGTGGGGTTTTATAGCGATATCCGCCGCTGCCCTGGGGATCACGTCACGTGCATTGCACGTGACTCCCGAGTCCGTTAACCGAACCCAATCCGGGGTGGAAATTTGATTGAACCCAATCCGGGTTGGAAATTTGATTGAACCCAAACCTATTAAAGCATTTGTGGTGCTTTGTGCACTTTATCTTAATATAATACACTGGTATTTTCCAAAGAAAAATCAAAATATTAGAATTTTCAGTAATTTAAAACTATAAACATTTTAATTTGCATAATATCTCTTCTTACCTAGAGAAATTGATTCATAGCAAAGGTGTTTCGAAGCAAATATTTTTTCTCTATATATGCATATATTATCTTTTTTTACAACTTAAGTATCATTATATATAATAATAATATGTTCCTTTAGATATTCAATGAAATGAAAATTTCAAATTATATATATATATATATGTATATAAATATGTATGTATATATGTATGTGTGTATATATATATATACACATATATACATTCATATATATATACACACACACACATATATATATATATATATATATATATATATATATATAGATATATATATATATATATATATATATATATACAGTAATGGTAATGGAAATGAATAGTTCTGCTAACTACAGTGTCAAAAGAAAAGAGAAGCACAGTGGGCATGGCAGTGTGAGCTGAACATTGTTCCCCCTCCCCTCCATGGCCAGAAACTTACATCATCCAAGCAAAAAATACCTCTGCCACACAACACGAGGAGTTCGGCCTCTCTCCTTTTCTAAGCATCTATGTATGCATCGCAAGCTAAAAGCCGCACAGTAAGCCTTTTGGGAAAGCTAAAGAGAAGAAGATGTTGGTTCTTCACGCTGTCTGCAGCTGCACTTGGTTCTCCCCATTCCCTTCTGCTGGCTTGGCTTCACGGATACCAGGTTCCTTGTTCTTACCCCACAGCAATGAGTAGAGGCCGGCAATCACCAGACCCGATCCCAGAACACTGCCATATAGAAAGTATCAGTACTGTTGATAGAGAAACCAGGAAGGTGGCAGCAGCATGTGGGTACCTCCCGAGGTAGATCTGTTCATGGAGGACGGCGCAGTCGATGCCCGCAACGATGATCTGCACGAGCGGCGTGAACGCCGCAGTGAACACCGGCCCTCTCTGCTCCACGCACCATGACATGGCCAAGAAGCCGAGTCCAGATCCCATGGACCCCTAAAACAGCAGGAAGAAACAGGTTCTTAGGAGCTCAAGGCACGAAGCTGCTGCATCATACATGGTGAAGTCAGCTCCACCGGCAACATATATTCCCATTGTCAGTTTTGTCTGCCAAAGAATGCCTTCTACATCACTTTACAACGTTGCAGGAGAACGTGTGCAAAGCTTTTCTCATTAGCTTAGACCAGAAAAACCCTAGCTTTCTTGATCATAAAGTCAGCTTATGATGTGTCGATGTGCTGACATTATCATTTCTCGTGACTAATCTTTTTGTTCGATTCCAGAGAATACCTTCCACAGGCACTCCTCATGGGATCAAGCAGAGATCAAGGATCATTCATGCATGCATGCAGGCATACTTCGCTGTGAAGGGTTGTTGCTTACCGCAAACAGTACGGTGGCGATCTCCATCTTCTTCTGCAACAGCCACACGGAGAGGCTCCTCTCTGCGGCCACGCTCATGGCAGCCGCCTGCAGGAAGCTGAGGAAGAACACTAGCGCAGTGCAGGAATAGAGAGCCGGATACTTCTTGCCGACCTTGGACTGGAGAGGGAACCAAGCGGACCAGCAGAAAGAACCAGCAAGCAGCGCAACGGATCCCATCAGCCATTTCCTTGAGGTGTAGTCCGTGGCGTCCGGCGACGACTGCTGCGGCTCCGGTGCCGTCGATCGAGGCGATGCGTCGCTGTTCAAGGCTACACCCTTGTACAATGTCAGCGCAATCACGCCTATCAGGCACAGCAATGTTCCGAGCGTCTTTGCGATCCCTGGTTTGGTCTTCAGATTCAGAGACTCCATCCTGCATGCACAAGCATTGGATTCGACACATTTTCTTGTTTGTTGTACTTCGGAGGCAGAAGAATACCGCAGGGCTAATGATATGAGGAAGGTGAAGACAGGAGCCATGTTGAGGAAAGCACATGCAAACGTCGCCGACGTGTATTGCATTCCAAGGTAGAAGAGATACTGCGTCAGAGGCGCCCTGCAGTAGAAATTGCCGAGTGAAAACAGTCTTTGAACGAGGGATCAGTCACTGAGTTACCCGAGCAAGGCGCTGAAGAACAGATACACACAGATCTCCATCGTCAGCTTCGGCCTCGTCTTCCTGCCATCACCAACCGCTGAAGATGAGCACTCTCAAGAAGAAGCGATTGAGTCAGTGAGGGTGTTTTCTGTACCTCTCATGGAAGAAGGCGATGGGAGCCATGAACAGAGTGGCGACCAGCTGCCGGAGCGTGATCAGCACCAGCCTGTTCAGCCCCTCGTCGATCGCCTTCTTGATCATCGTGTTCATCACCGCAAACACGACGTCCACCGCCAGCATCACCAGCACCGGTCTCCACTCGATCCAATAGGCCATGTCGTGTGCCGGGCTTTGAGGAGTTGGCCATCAGAGCCGGGCTATTTATGCCCGCCGGGGAGCGGGAACGCATCGCCATTGGAAATCTACTCTTCCACCGCTGATATCTGCACGAGAACGACACATGCCGCACATCGAAGCGTCACCAAATACTTCACGGCGTGCTGATTCGAGCATTATTTGCTGGTGGAATTCCACGTTCTCTTCTGGGTGCCGAAATGTTCCCTCTATGATGCTTTGCCCCTGTTCCATCATTCATTGGACGGCGTGAAGCTTTTACTGTTCTCGAGTTCTGACGCTCACCCATCTCCGTTCGAGTGCATGAACATGCAGCTGCAGTATGTGCACGAAGATCTTGCGACGGTGTAATTCTCTCAGCTCTGTCCTTGAGACTGAAGGCGTGGCATCTCCGGGAATGGGAGCTTTGGTCTCCTCAAGCATCGATGCGCTCCCCATGATGGGAAGTGTTGCAGCGGGCAATTCGCCCACATGGTACAATGTATCGACCGGGAGTTGTTCTCTTCTTTCGGCAAATTCCATGAGGATAATGGCGAGGGCGAGGTCGACCGGCACGTGACGGCGTCGTCAGAATGGCGGCGAGCCCTTGGCGTATTCTGCCGGCGGGAATCAGACATCACCGGCAATACTAATACACACGTTCTGCAGCAAAACAATTTGATAAAGGGAGCAATTTTACTGGTTGAATCTGGAGAAAACAAAGAACAGAGAGAAAAGTAAGACGCACATTTGATGCTCACAATACCAGTGAAGGACAGATTGGACTTGAAAAAGAGTTGATATATGCGGCATGTGGAAACAAGGAAAATTCTCAGTTTCTGTAAATATTGATGGAGAAGAGAGGAAGTTGTAAAGGCACAGCAGATATGATGCTTGAAGGAATCTAAAGCAAACCCATCACTCCAAAGCTGTAAGCTAGTGTTTCGACTTTTCGTTTGTTGTGCATTAGAACGCTTGTACTGCACAAATAAAAGCATTAACATATAAATGTAGAATCTATGAATCATGTTCCAAAATCATAAAGAAAATGAAGAACAACACATGAATAAATGCACAATGTAAGGAGGAGAACACATAAGCTTTTGGATTGTGTTTTGAACATCACAGGCTTCTTAATTCAGTATTCATCTTTAAACACATAGTCAGAACAAAGTAAATCAAACATGTACCAGTTGAGCTGGCAATTTATTTCTTAGGATACACTATCAGATGACATTATTATTCCACCTAGCTAGCTTTTCACTATCTCTCTGAAAGCATATATGTTTACAAGAATCACTTCCAAAAAGGAAATCACCAAGATGTTGCTTCACCTTGGCAACATTATAATAAACTTAAAGATGTGGCTTTTACATAAATATAGTGGCCATTGGTGCAGATCCTTCAGAACATACTATTACTGAGTTGAATGAAGAGAGAAATTTGCATAATTCAGTGATTGTCACATTATATCACCAAACGAGTTTAGTTTCAAAATCTCATTTAATCTTTACATGGTTTGGTACTACATCATCATAGTGAATAAGAACAATTTCACATCCTAAGATTACCAGGTGATCAAATTTAACTACAACATGACAACAACAAAAAAAAAAATCTTTGCTACTGACAAGAAAGATAAACATTACAAAAGCCTGGTTATCAATAAATTGCCAGTCAAAAAATGGCAATACATTGTCAGAAAAGTAGCCTGGTTGTACCACTCCTTTGCATAAGGAATTCTTGTCGCCGTTCGGAGTATTGGATGCTTAGAAGAGTTCAAAAAAAAAAAAAGTAGAAAAATAACTGAGTGGAGTGATGTCAGGAAAGATTGTGATGGATATGTATATCATAGAATCTCCTTATATTACAGATAATTACTCTTTCCTGTAAAGCTAATGCATGATGCAAACTAAATGGATGAAGGAATTTGTGAAATGTGATAAAAGATATTTACTCTTTGTCCTCATCTAATAGCACATAGCTAAGGAGATCTGTTTGGGTGAGAATTCTGCCAGTTTGACCTATATGCCATGAGAATTATAGCATCATCCTCTGCCATATTTCTGGTCCAACTTAAGCATATTTCTTAGAATTCAGCAGAATGCAATGTGGACTAGTTTTCAGTATACATGCTGCCTAAATCTGTACTAAAAAAGGTTGTAATTTGTAAAGGATCAAAATGATGATGTGGGCATGCCATGGGGTCCTTACGAGAGGGCGCGCCTGGGTCAGAGTATCGCAGGTGTATTGATTGCTTGTGAGGGGAAGTCGGCCTGGCTCGTCGTGGGGCTGCTCGGCGGGCGGCGCCCTATGCTTTGAGAAGGGTTGGAACTGTTGGCCGGGTAGTTAGGCCCAGATAGGATGATACCGACAAGTCGCTAGACCAGGGATCGAGCTATGAGACTCGGGCAAAGACTGGACCTGTTGGCCGAGTGCCTGGTCTCGGGCTCAGGTTTGTGACTGGCGAGTCGCAAGTCGGGGGATCGAGCTGCGCGACTCAGGTAAATACTGGACCTGTTGGCCGAGTGACTGATCTCGGGCTCAGGTTTAGAACTGGCGAGTCGCAAGTTGGGGGATCGAGCTGCGCGACTCGGGTAAAGACTGGACCTGTTGGCCGAGTGACTG